GGAGCGGGACCCGGGGGCCGCGGCGCTGTACGCCCACGTGAGTGCTTGCACGCCCGCCCCGCGCACACTTGCCCCCACGCGTGCACCCCGGGGCCGTGCGGGGAGCGCTGCCCCCTGGCAAGGGGCACCTGGGCACCGTGCCCAGGGGAGTGCGGAGGGTATCGCCCCTGGCTCATGGCCCGGCATGTGGTTAGATGGCAGGATTGCCCACTCTCATGATTTTTGGCTTTGTTCAAGGCTTTCACGAAAGGTTTGGACGCTTCCTTTGCCCCCAGCTGACTTCCTGCCCCCGGGGATGATCTTCCGAGGTCCCTTCCAGCCCCTAATGTCTCTGAAATCCATGAAATCCGTGCTTGGGGAATGCAGAAAATCATCGCGGTTTCTTTTATCTGGACCTATAACTATAAACAGATGCAAAAGAAAGAGCTACGCTTGTCCTGTTCGTGAAGTCTAGGCTTTTAAGACCAGCACTGAAAATCGTGGGAGTTGGCAACGCTGAGGTGGGCAGGGAAACCGAGGCACAGAGGGCTGGCGGCTTGCCCAAGGTCACCCTGGTGTTGGTGGCACAGCTGGGAGAGACCCCTGACCTCTTCCCCCCCCCCCCCCAACACACGGACACACATGGTATCGGAGCCCAATTTCCGCTCCGACAGCCGCACTCCTCCGTTTCCAGTGGGGATCCTGCTTCCTGGGTGCGTGCAACTGATTTGCTTTTCCCCCACTCTGAGGGCTGCGCTGCCATGTGCTCCCTGCCAAGAGGGCTCTCTTCTTTCCATGTCCCGTAGTGGCCCTACTGCCTCAAACGCTGCAGCTACTGCAACTTCAACAAGTACATCCCCCGGGGCCTCGACGAGGCGGCGGTGCGGAGCTGTCTCGCCCGGGAAGCCCAGACCCTGATCCAGCTGAGCCGAGTGCAGAGGTGGGTGCAGTCCCCAGAGGGTGAGGACAGTATATGGGAGAGGGACACACTCTTGTGTGCTTTGTCCTGGGCAGCCCGGGTCCCTGGGGTGTGGAGTCGGGCGCAAGACGCTCTGGCAGCAACACGTGCGCGCTGCGGGGCTCAGGGCCTCTCTTCCCAACAGGATCAGCTCAGTGTTCTTCGGCGGGGGGACGCCAAGCCTGGCCAGCCCGCTTACCATCGCTGCGGTGCTGGAGACCATTTCCCAATGCGCTCGCTTGGCGGCAGACGCGGAGGTCACTCTGGAAGCCAACCCCACCTCGGCCGGAGCCTCGCGGCTGGCGGGCTTCCAGGCAGCAGGTGTCAATCGCCTCTCTGTTGGCATCCAGGTGAGAGGGCACATCTGCCTGCCCCCCTCACCCGATCTCCCTCCATCCTCGCTGTCTGCCCTTGCTCTTGTGCCCTTCTCATCCCTGCCCAGAGCTCCCTTTCTCCTGGGTGGCCGGTGTGGTCTCACCGGGCCTCTCTGTTCCCTGCAGTCAGCGGACAACGCAGAGCTCCAGCTCCTGGGGCGGGACCACACGGCGGATGAGGCTTTGAGAACCCTGGAAGAGGCCAAGAAACTGTTTCCAGGACGCACGTCCATCGACCTCATCTTCGGCCTCCCGGGCCAGAGCGTTGCCTCGTGGGCCAGGGGGTTGGAGCACCTGCTTCAGCTGTGCGACGACCACGTGTCCCTGTACCAGCTCACGCTGGAGCGGGGCACCTCCCTCTTCAAGCAGGTGCAGCAGGGCACCCTGCCTACACCCGAGCACGACGTGGTGGCTGAGATGTACGAAGTGTCGCGGCAGATGCTGCAGGATGCAGGCTTCCGGCAGTACGAGGTCTCCAACTTTGCCAGGAATGTGAGTCCTGGCCCTTGGCAGACCCGGCTGGGTGCTCTGCCTGGGAGGGAGGAGACTTGGGGTGGCCAAGCTGGGGGCTTTTGTGACTGCTGGGGGGGGTGTGAGCTCCTCCTGGGCTGCGGTCCAAAGAGATGCCTTCGCTTTCTGTGGCTTACCCTGTACCATCTTCTGCAGGGCGCACTCAGCACCCACAACCTGTCCTATTGGCAGGGGGGGCCCGACAACGGGGTCTCCAGGTGAGTTCACCTGCTAGGGAAGTCAGGAGGGCCTGGGGTATTACCACGGTGGGGATGCACAGGGCTGGGAGGCAGCCTGGCTAACGGGATCCCCATTTGCTTCTGCCAGGAGCTGCCATGAGGGAGTCTGTCCCTGCCTCTTTCCCCCTAGCTGAGTTCCCTCCCAGTATTGACTGTCTGGGTGCCATGGGTGGTGATCTACTCTGCCAGGGCTTCATATCCCACTCCTTCTCAGCCCCATGGATCTGACACACGAGACAGGGGTGTGGCCAGGAGGAGCATGAGTCTGACGAGCTCTGGGAGGGAGGGAGCTATGCTGCAGGAAGGCCTGTCTCTCTGCCAGGAGCCCACGGGAGGTTTGTGCCCCGAGGAAGCGGTACGAGCCTTCGGGAGGCCCGGATACAGACCCTGGAGCCAGACAACTGGATGAGGGAGGTGCTGGCCTGGGGACACGGGACCAGGAAGCGGGTTGCGCAGAACCCACTGGATGTGTGAGTATTGGGCAGGATAAAGTGGCCCCTTGCCAGGGCGGCATCTGACTCCTCTATGGGGGGACGTTCCAGGGCAAGAGACCATGGCTGAGCTACAACTGCAGAGCTTGATGGTAAGATGCTTCTGCCAGCTCGGGCTCGTGAAGCTTCCCCTATTGCGCTCTGGTACTTCTAGGCCTTGCTGCACCTTCAGCCTTGCGTGCAAGAGCCCTCTCTGGAGCTCTAGAGGCCACATAGTCACCCAGCATCTCCCTCTGTTGTAGGCTGGAGGAGATCTTGGCTCTGGGGCTCCGCACGGATGTTGGGATCACACACCAGGTGAGAGACGGGTCTCCGCTGCAGCAGCCTGTTCAGAGGCTGGGGCAGGGGAGCAAGGTTTGTGAGTGTGGAGCTCATGGCAGGGGAGTGGCTTCCCGGTAGAGCTGTGGTTAATCACTGCACAGAGAATGATTCGGCATGGAGCAGCCAGTTTTATTGGGGCTCTTGATAGACATTGTTTGCTGGTTGGGATTCCTGAGCCATCCCTTCCTCTAAGCGTTGTCATGAGGTATCGTAAGGTCTTGAGGGGGCAGAGGGCATCTTTGTTTAGTAGCTTCCTGAAATAAGAGTGTACTCGGTAATACAACCCTGCTGCCTGGCACGATAGGGTCTGCCTGGGCAATACACCAGAGTCCTGGTATGTAGGGACCTTGTCTGGTGCCATCCAGCCTTGGTGCCACCTTGACTTTAGGGGCTGGGAGGGGAGTAGGGGAGTTCAGACTCCACTGACTGTTCAGTCCTGGTCCATTGGGGTAGGTGTGTTACTGGGCCATGCAGACACTTCTCAGGACTGCAGGCTGTGGAAGCCTAAGGGGCTTTTATCCAGCCTCCTTTCTTTAATGGGCACAGCTCAGTCCCATAAACCCCGTGCTGCTCTTCTGGAGCCAGCTGCCGGAGGTGCAAACAGGTCAACTACTGAATGAGTAGCTACGTATGTAGCTGCTTGCTCTCTCTGCATCCTGAGCCTGCCTGCCAGTCCTGCACCCGGGGCTGCCAGGATTCTAGGTAAACTTTTAGGATCGGCCCCACCTCACCAGAGATGATGATAATCAGACAACAGGGGAAAAAAATGACCAGTGTCAGGCCCCTTTTCTGTTTGGACAGCTGCCTGGTTTGCCCATGCCTGTGTCCAGCTCTGCTGCACCCATCTCCAGGCTGTGCCTGACTCTGCAGAAGGGGAACCAGCTCAGGGAGGACCCAGGCCTCTGAGGGAGGCTTTCTTCCTACCCTCCAACGAAACTTACCCCGTATTTAGTGGGCTTCTCTATGTGCTGTCCCCCAGCACTGGCTGCAGTTTGCTCCCAGCCTGAGCCTGTGGGATGCATTTGGAGCCTCGGAAGAAGTGAAGGAGCTGGAGGACCAGGGCTTCCTGCTTTTGGACCACAGGTGAGGCACAGCCTGGAGAGCGTGGGTGTGCACAGAGGGGCTTTGTTTGCTGGTGGGTGAGACTGATCCCTGTCCTGCTTTCTTCTCAGGGGGCTAAGATGCTCTTGGACAGGTTTGGCTGTGCTGGATTCTCTGCTACCAACTCTTCTCAACCAGCTCCAGCAGACCTGGGCAGACAGGGTATCTCCTACCTGATAGCTCCCTGCCAGGAGGCAGGGGTTTGTCTTGGCACATGCAGACAAGCCGCTCATGGATTCTGTCCACCTGGGGAACTGGAACATGGATAGATCTTGCCTCCAATCTGAAAGGCATTTCAGAGGGAGCACTTAATCCCTAAGCATCTGGAGAGCTTGGCTGTTACCGTACTGGATCCCAGGGTAAGGGCCCCTCTGGGAGATGTTGCATCTATGCAGAGCAGAGAAGACACCAGTTCTTTGCTTTCTAAGCACCCTGTGTGCTAAGTGCTATGGAGAATAAAACGGGTGAAGTACGTTTTAACTTTAGAACGAATGCAAAGAAAAATCAAGCATTGGCTTCTGCAGTTACAAAAACATGAGGAAGGGAGGTCCTGCACTGTGCAGGCAGCCTCACTCCAGTAGAGGGCAGTAAGGGGCAGCACAAATCCTGCCCTAGCAAAACTCCTTAGAGAGACTTTGGACCCACAGCTCCCCAGAAGGGGATCACCCCCCAAAAGGGGATGTCTCACTCCCTGCCTGGGGTTAGCTTTGTGGCTGCTGGGTTTTTGTTTGGATGAGACTTTCCCTTTGCTCTGTTTATACCAGAGTGAGTGAAGGGTTTGCTGGCAAGACTTTCAATATGCTTGACCTTGGGACTCCAGTGTTGATACTTCCAGCCCAGCTCAGAAGCAGGGCTCAGTGTCTAACTCATCTCCTTTTATTGTTCTTGCTGCCCCGAGTGCTAGAGCCGCAGGTAGGTGGCAGGAATTGCAGAGACTCATCTCCCACTACTCCGGAGAGCTGGGAAGAGGCAGATCCTACCTCCAAGGAGTGCGCACCGTGAAGCCCCCATCCTCTACCATGCAGATTGCACATGGATATTGGTCACCTTCCCAGGGGATGCACTGCTGCACTGACCATGTCCGGAGGGGGCTCTGTCCACTTTTACTGACAGAACGCTTGCCATCTACTTTTATATAATCCATAGAATATATCTGTAGAGCTTGGGCAGGGGCAGGGTACCCCAGTTTGCCAACATGCCATGCCTGGGTGAAGCGGTAGATAGGCCCAACAATGGCTGAGTCCAGCAGACCAGCTCATTGCAATATCTACTGGATCACATAGCTTCTCCCTGACTTCTGCAAGATCACTTCCCTTTGAAACCGAAGTGAGGGCTGATATTACTATGCAGGAGCTGGGCTTCCCTTCCACGCTTTGTGAAGGAACAGCTGTTGGGAGCTTCTTCAGGTGTGCATCCAACATGGAGTGACTTGCTCGTGCAGCCCCTTGTTATGTGCAGCTGTAACCAGTCATTTGGATTGTGAAATTTAATGAGTCCAAAGTTATCTTGACACTTTAACCAGCTAGTTGTTCTTGATATTAATCTGGTTGTGGTAGCGATGGAGTGGTGGGGTAGCTGTGATAGTCTATGGAATTATGCTGGAGGCAAGGATATTTTGGGGTGTGCTATCTTTTATTGGACTAACTGCATGCTTCAGAGAGATTTTTAGGCAAGCTTCTTAAGCACAAAAGGGTACTTCTGTGGGTCTGAGAGTTCAGGCTGCGTTTGCTTCTGAAAGAGTAATTACAGTTTAGCTCTAAAATCAATATTTGGAGTCCAGTGTAGATAACAGCTTTCAAGCCCTGGTGACAGTTGTTCAATCGGACAATAATCACTTAAAATCTTCACCTGAATTGTTTTGCTGAACAGGTTTTTTTGTTATGAGCTCCCTGAATGTGAAGAGGGCAGCAGAAAGCACAGGGCAGTGCAGAGCAGGTTCTGGATGTTGCAGAGTCTTTCACATGTGAGGGCTCTCTGCATGATTTCATAGTGGGAGGGGAGCAGCTGTGAGTGAAGGCATCAGCCATTCAGCAGTGAGAAGTAGCCAGTGCCTGGTCCAGGGTCTTAGCATCTGCTTTGGATGGAGAGATTTGGGAAGCTGGGGTTCTCACATTAGCTCCATCTCTGTGTCCTAGCAGAGATGGACAGAAGGAGCAGTAGTTGTAGCGTCCCATCAAAGCTTCCACAGCTTACATGTACCTCCCCGTCATGTTGCAGGGTAGGATGGCATCAGCCTTGGGGAGGAGAAGGTGAGTTACCGACAGCAGGGGTGGGGAGGTTGGACCATGCGATCCAAAGACGAGAGTCCTGCAGTGCAACAGCAAGAGGTTGCCTGGCGTACTGAGTGGTGTCAACATGAGATTGGCCTACAAATTGCATTGCACAAGCTGCAGTTAGAATTTTAATTAGTGATATGAGAGACACTTGAGGACTTCAACATGGGTCTGACACCTTCATTGTTATGGCCAATGAGTAATGATCTCTGCTTGCAAGTGCATCCATGTGAGCTGAGGTCCTGTCCTGTGTCAGTGTATGAGTAAACCATGGGCCAGGACACTTGTAAATATTTTTGCATTGCTAAATACAGATCTGCATTTCAGTAACCTTTGCACTTCTTTTTTTCCAGCTTCAGCTGCAATGCCAGGGCTACTGTTCCCTACTTGGAGTGACTAAAAGTCTATTTCTGACTGATTGGACCAAAATAAAGCCCCAAACACTTCTTAATTTATATTACACTGATGCCTGGCACCTGCACCTCCCAGTTTAGGGCCCATTGTAATAGGGGCTGTATATACACATAGCATGCCTTGAGAAGCTTTTACAGTATTAGGAGACCTGATGGAACAAGGGTGGGCAAAAGGAAATGTATAATCAGTGGTCAACAGCTGCTTGTTACTCGTTGGTGTAGAGTTAGGCAAAATCAAACTCATTTCCTCATAAGCAAACGTCATGGCTTGCTGGTCTTGCCTCTTGGCCTTTGACTCATACAGGCCCAACACCAAAAGGTGGCTTTATCTTGCTGGGTTCTGAAGAGGCCAAGAAGGTCTGGTGGGATCTCTAGGGCTATAGGAGAATAAACCAAAACATTAGCAAAATCAGGTATGTTCCCTTCATCTTCATTATGACTGGGGAAAGCAAGAACAAAATTTTCCAAATGCAGCTCCATTTGGCTACATGAGGAAAGGAGAGTGATTTCTTAACCAAGGTGTCTTGAGATCCTTTGAAGGGTATGGTAAACTTGGAGGAGATAAGAGAGGTGTGAGGAAGTGAACAGATAAGCACAGGTCCAGGCTCTCCCTCCCTGGATGCTTTTGCACCACCATAGTTTGGCCCTTTCCAAAGAGGTAAATGCTGCAATAACTGAGTGAGGTTTTTAAAACCGGGTACTGCTTAATTCACAATAGTTATGGAGGGGGCTTAAGTTAGGAGGAGTGCCTTGAGTCTGAAAAAGTTGAGAACCAGCGCACTATGCCAATGGCCAAATTGTGCCTTCGGTGATGCTTACATCGCCCCACTGGCTTTGGGCACCAGTCAGAGTAGACCATGGGCCAAAATTAGTGGGGAAAAGCTGGAGAAGAGGGAAGACCTTTCTTCTGGAGCCTTCAAGAAGAAACAAGTACAAAGGAAATCTACAGTCAATGCAGGCTACTTAAACATTTGCGTTGTATCCCTTTGAACCAAGCATGGTGTTTGGCTCGCTGGATGATTAATGTCTGCTGTAAAAGCATCAGAGTTACTTTCAGTAAGATGACATTCACATCTACCCTATGTCTGGCTGCAGGAAATGCCTATTAATGTCTGACTAGTCTGAATTCCCATCCAGGGCCTGGGCCAGAGTCCATCCAAATCAATAGAAGGGTTCATATGGATGGCAATGAGCTATAAGGAAGGTTTGAAGAGGACAAGAGAGTCCTTTGTAGGAGATGCTCAGAGACTGATATGTCCTGGGAGCTTGGGTCTTTCCTTTCACTTAACCCAATGTCAACCAGGCATAACTCCAAATCAATGGCATGTGGAAAGCAGCTTTAGGGCTATTAAGGGCTTTTAATAATATTTGCTGTCAACCAGGTACGTTCCAGTTCATTGCAGTTATTGCACAAGGCAGTGTTGCCTGTTGGGTAGAGAAAACCGCAAGCTGAGAGGTCCTTTTGTACACACAGCCTCACCATACCTCATTCTCCCCATATCTATATATCATTTGCAGGTAATAATACTCATGCAGTTCAGAGAGGCCTAGGGAAAAAAGCACATAGGATGAGCACAGTCTCACAAGGAAGGGGGTGGGAAATAAGACAGCTGAATGGAATGCAGTGAAGCTCAATTTTCCCTCATTGCCATATCCTGATTGTATCAAGAATTACTGACTAATAACTAGTAATTTCACGTGAGTTAAAACAACAACACCGGCCCATCCCCGCTAATTAGGAAGGGCCCCCATTTCTACTTCCTGAAGGACTGGCATGTTTACTTGCCATCCAGGTGAAACGCGTGATTAAATTTCCCCAGGGCTGAGGAAACCATGACTCATGTTCTCTTCCTCCTTGGTCCCAGCTGGAGGCAGGGATATTTTAGTCAACCTTGATAAGAAGAGTCCCCCGTGTCCTTTGGTAGTGGCTGTATGCCATTCTGGGAATAGCTGAGGGTCATTCAGAAAGGGTCCCCTGCATGTAATAGGGTTGTTTTAATAATATTCGGATAATATTCGGATAATAATATTCCGGATCTGCGCTTTTGGGGGTTTAGGAGGGGGTGTGGAATGTCCTCGGCGTGTTGTAGAGAAGTAGCCTCAGTGGTCTGTGTCCGTGGCAATGGGAAGCTTTATGCATAGGGAGATGCAAGATTGAAAAGGCCTCCTCTTCACCTAGATGCATTGAGTCAATGGCAGTAAGAAAGTTGGGGGTCTCTTGAAGACAGTCGTGGTGTCATTTGGGGCTCCTGAGTGATGAAGGGATCAGAATTGGAAGAAAAATGAATGTTGGTGCCAGTCTCTCGTCATATTTATCAACGCTGGCTGGTGCAGGTGAGAGGAACCCCCCCCCGCCGTTTTCTGCAAACGCACCTGCTGCATGTTGGGAACACACACACCCTGGCCTGCACCACTGAGCTAGAACCAGAAGTGGATGCCCTCCGCTTCATTCAAAATAGCCGTGGGCTTTGGGTTTCAAGCAAGCTGCCAAAGCAGCTCTTCTCCAGGCTGATAGGTGCCTAGCATGAAAGGCAGATGTCTGTGGTGTGAGCCGCAAGCTTCTTGCTAGGACTTGCCTTGGACTCGACCTGTCCTGTCTGTTTGCTAATACAAGTGCTTGCAGGGGCATCCGGCTTGGCCTTCTGGCAGCGTTCCTCCCATGGTGGAAAAGGAGTAACTACCTCAGCACTTCTTTCATGCAGTCTGTTGCATGTGGGCACTTGGAAGTAGGTGGCCTCCAGCCACCGTCCACATCTACTCTTGGATGAAATGGGGGGTTGTAGCTGGTTTTCTGTACTGTGGCTGCTTCTGTGTTCATGCCTCATCAGCATCATCCAGGTGGACAGGAAATGTTCCCGTATCCACGTGGCGCTGGCATTGTAGAAGCTCCCGATACCCTGAAGGCGTTTCCATCTCAGAGCGCCTCTGTAGCACTTGCTCTTTTCAAATGCAGTTAACTCGGTCTGACAGCATCAGGCCTTGCCGGGCTGAGGCCAGGTTTGGAGCAGGGAAGTCGTTAGTGTTGGGGTATTATTTTAATGAGCTAAGCTCCATCACGTGGGTTTCTGAGCATTTTTCAGTTACTAACTTCATGTGGAAGATGCTGGACTCCAGGTTTGCCCTCCAGCCTGACAGACGTGATGCCTGCTCCTAGGAGCACTGCAATCAAGCTAATTAGCGCAGGACCCTCCGCGGCACATGATCAGCACCTGCCAAGATCACTCTGCGATCAGATTGCTTCCTTGCCTCCGCTTCGCATCTCTAGAGCTGCAAGACGCAACCACTGTGACAAGAGCAACAAATGAAAGCACTTGTCATTTCGGCGGCTAATGGTGCTGCAAGGAAACCAGGCATCATACAAACCTCTCATCCAGCAAACTTGTGATACGGGGCTTCCAAAAGGCAGCGAGGGAGGAAATCGGAAGGACAAGACAAATAGCAGAGGAGGATGCTAGGAATTAATGAAATGGCTGGCACATCACTTTGCTTGCACAACACTTTATATCTCCTTAGTCCCTCAGCGTGGAGCAGTGGCCATCCTCTACTTCTGTGGGTTGTGCAGAGGGAGATAGGGGGCTAGGAAGGGATCTACATGAGCATGAGGGGGCTGCGCTCTTGTACCATCAAGGACTTCTCTAAAAAGGGAAGCAAGGCTGATCAGCTCTCGGGACTCTTAGCTGGTCTCCCTAATGCGGGGTGCAGCCCTGCCAGGCAGCGGTCCCCTTATGCCACACTTCTGCATGACCTGAGCAGATCTTTCCGATGAGGGTGGTGAGGCTCATCCGGGAGAGATGGCAAGTCTCTGCAAGCAGCGGTCCCTCTTGGCCCAAGATCTGCTTGAGAGCAAAAGGGCGAGCAAAGCAGGGAGAGGGCCTCTCCCAGGACCCAGTGCTGCATTGCAAGCTGAGCAGGCCTGTTGGCGCAGGGCCAGGCTTTTGGGGAGGGGGTCGGCAGCCCCTGGCACAGAAGGGCTGGAGGGCACAGTGCCTCTCGGTGCACCGGTTGCATCTCAGCTGCCTGGGGCTGGCGGTGAGCCACCTCCCCGGGACAGGGACAGGGACAGGGACGTGCAGCAGTCCTGGAACTCGCCTCTCCCGGCGCCCAGAGGCTGTGTTGCTAGAGACAGAGGGGTTTCCATGGAGACGGGTAGCGCCAGCCTGCCTGCTTGCCTGCGCTGGGCAGGATGCAACCGTCGCTGCAGGCCCTAAAGAAGGAGGCTCGACTTGCCCGCAAGGTCCCGTCCATCATCTCCGTGTCTGACACCATCAGCAAGGGGAGCAAGAAGGACCCGCGCACCAAAACCCCTCCGGGTAGGGATGGGGCTCGAGCCCTGCTGCGGGGCTCTGCTAAGGGGGGGCAAAGGGTCCTGGCAGGGCTTAGGGGTCCAGCTGCAGGGGGATACAGCCTGGGGCATTGGCATCATCGCTGCCAGGACATAGGCAGGGGGCCTCCCGTTGCAAGCAGCGCTGCACTGGCTTCCAGTGGAGCCTCATGAGAACTGCCGTTGAGTGGGTCAGGCCATCGGTCCACCTTGCCCGGTCTCCTGCGTCGCATCGGGGCAGAGAGCGGATGCTGAAAGTGAGAGCGAACTGGCTCTGACCAGGGTTTTTCCCCCACTGCCCCTCTCCCCCTTGCAGCCTCCAGCAGTTTCAGGTATAGGAAGTCCTGGTGCAGAGATGGAGCCCCTCGCTGCTGTGCTCATCAGCTGCCGCTGTCCCTTTCCTCCAAGCAGTGAATCTGGCTGAACTCTCAGTTTCCTCCGTCTCTTTTGGCAATGAGCTCCACACTTTAATTATGGTAGTGTAAGAGTGACATTGTAGCCGTGATGGGTCTAATGACAGAGATCACCCCGAGAAATTCTTGCCTCTTGCACACTTTCATGACTCAGTGGATGAAAAAGAAGTTATTTTTGTGAGTTTTAAATGTACAGCCTCCTAGTGACCCCTAGTTCTTGTATGGTGAGAGAGAGTCGATAGTAAATCCCAATTTACTATCTCTTTGCCATTTAGTATTTTGTAAAGCCTTATCATGCCCCCCCTCGAGCATCTCTTTTCTCAGCTGAACAAGCCTAGCTTCCTTAGTCTCTCCTCATATGGAAACCCCTCCATACCTCTAATCATCCTTGTTGCCCTTCTCTGTCCCCTCTCTAGTTCTCCTATATTTTTTTCTAGGAGTGAGATCCAGAACTGGGCATAGTATTCAAGATGTGCACATGGATCTCACATTGCTGGTATGTGTCCAGGTGTAGGAACACGTGAGACTTGTTCATGTGGGACTCTTCGGGAAGAAAAAGTGGGGGCATCTGAATTTCATAATGATATAACAGACTCCCTATGCCTGAAGAAGGGCGTTTGTGCCCGAAAGCTTGCAAAGAACAATTTTTCCAACTATTTAGTTGGCCAAATAAAAGACATCCCATCTACCCAAAGAACTTTTTCTGCTTATGTCCTTAGACCACCACGGCTACAACCAACAACCCCATATTGCTGTGACAGCCAGTGGTTCCAGCTGATCTGCCTTTTGAGGCTCCAAGAAAAGATTACCCCACCCCACCTTCTGCATGGTCCACAGTGACCAGGTGGTTTCTTCAAATGGGCAGCAGGATGTTTCTGATGCAGCACCTGCCCCTGAGCAGTTGATGGGGCGTGTGGTTCAGCACACTTGAACGTTTTCAATGGGCAACTTAACAGCTAAGGAGCACAGGGCTAAGTGAGCCTGCAAAAACAGCTGGGCACGTTGGCTGGCCCTGCCATCACTCGGCACGTGGATCAAAGTGTCACATGATCCATTTTCCCAGAAAAATAGTAGACCCTTGAAGCAAATGAGTCCCAAATGCCAATGACAGCCTCTGAGGATGGCCAAAGTTGCTTCTGTGAAACGCAGTGCTCCCTCATGGTTTTAAAACACATATTAAATGCAATTATCAGGGGCTCTCATAAGGGTGCTGGGGCACAAAGTCAGAATTTTTTGACATTTTTTTTTTTAAGGGACCAGGAGAAAACTGCTAATTGACTGTGTCAGAATGAGGAAGCGCAGTCTGGTTCTCGTACTCGTTGTCCTGGTCAGAAGGAAGTCCGTTTCTTTGAATACAATGAAGAGGAGATCATTTTATAATGAATGTTTGTTATCTGAATGGCACATAGGGGTCCCAGTTAGAGGTCAGGGCATTGCTGCAGTAGGTCTATGCAGATGCCTGAGAACAAGAGGGTCCCTGCCATGACAACTTAGAGCAGCAGTTCTCAACCTTTTCAGACTTGGGGTGCCCTCATGAGTCTCAAGGCACCCCTCAGAAAGTGCCAGCTCTTAGTTTTGACTCATTTTTTGATTCATAGATTCATAGACATTAGGGCTGGAAGGCACCCCAGAGGATCATCGAGTCCAGCCCCTGTCCCAGGGGCAGGAAGGCAGCAGGGATCATAGTATCCCAGCAAGATAAACATCCAAATATCTCTTAAAGGCATTCAAAGTAGGTGCTTGAACCGCCTCCGATGGCAGTCTATTCCAGACCTTGGGGGCTTAGACAGTAAAGAAGTTCTTCCTTATGTCCAGCCTGAAACGGTCATGGAGGAGTTTGTGACCGTTCGACCTTGTCCTCTCTTGGGGCGCTCTGGTGAGCAAACGTTCCTGGTGAGCACCCCTGATAAACTTATAGGTGGCCACCAGATCACCCCTGAGCCTGCGCTTTTCCAGGCTGAAGAGTCTCATGGCTTTCAGCCTCTCGTCATAAGGTCTGTTTTCCTGATCTCTGATCATGCACGTGGCTCTCCTCTGGACTCTCTCAAGCTTCTCCACATCCTTTTTGAATTGTGGAGCCCAAAACTGGATGCAATACTCTAGCTGCGGCCTCACCAAGGCCGAGTACAAGGGGAGAATGACGTCCTGGGATTTGCTTGAGAACTATCTATGGATGCAAGCCAGTGTTTTGCTCACTTTACTAGCCGCAGCATCACATTGCAGGCTCATGTTCATCTTGTGGTCAACCATGACCCCCAAGTC